TTGTTGTCATTTGAATTTAATTAACATTTATTGTGAAAACCTTGGTACCTGAAAATTAATTTATTTGAAATATATGACAAAATACTAAAATTAAAGTAGGTTGGTTTTGTTGGGTGCTGTTCCTTTAAAAGCCAAGGCCTTCTCCACCACACTAAGCACAGTACTCTTTTTTCCTCCCAAATAGTGTGTTTACAGCTGTCAAAACTCAAGACAACAGTTTCTGCTACCACTGTTCTGGCAGGTCTCCATTCATATCAGAGTCAACTTCTATTTTCCAAATCCCCTCAAACACCACACTTATTTACCACTTCTCCATTTTCTTATCTATGATTGCTCTTTTACCCCATGCTGGAAGATCCCCCCTGGTTGGTGGCTCCTTTATTTCCCCCCTCACTTCTACTCCTTGCACTGTCTGCTGCTTATTCCTTCCTCAGACACTCCTTCTTCCACTCTTCTGTCTTCCAAATGGTCTACTACATTCCTGTCTCCCCATAGCAAGCAGCATCTCCACAGATAACGGTTGGTTTTATACAAAGACCATTAATTTTACATTACTGCTTTCTATTTGAATCAGCAGGGAAGATAAAAAGCAAAGACAGGTCGAAGGAAAGATTACGGGAATCTCTGCACTGAAGGATATGAGCTATCTGCCCAATCAGACATCTGGTGAACTGATGATCAGTTCTATGTGCTGCTTAAATATGTCCTTTTATTTACATAGATAAAAAGAAATTTTCATACACAAACTTCCCAGAATTTCATACTGGGTTTCATACATGCCTTTAACTGAACAGATTATTCAGCCTATAAATTATACGACAAACACATGATAAAATCTTAAGAGAAACTGAGAAGAGGGAAATTGCACATCATGTTTGCACATACAGTAGACACATTGAAAGACATGCTTCCAATACCCTAATTCTGTTGTTCAGATTAAGAAGAAGAAACAAAACCTTAAGTTTCTGAAGAAAAGTGGCATAAAACAAGAGAAAAATGAACTGCAAACAACAGTGCAAACTCACAGGAAATAACTGATGCCTCATCTTGATGAGCAACAGTGGCTCTATGCTTGACCTATGTCTTGAATTTTTCAGTATTCACAAATTCTCCAGTAACTGCTGGATAAAATGAAAAGTGTATCTGCTTGAGACAAATCTGGTTTAGACCTTGAACATTAATTATCCCTGAACTATAAGGGAAGATCCATCGATAAAAGTGTTACTTAACTAGACCCTTCCTCATTCAGAAGCCTCAACTGAGATTTCTAATTCAGAGCAGTTATCAATGGAGGAGTCAGTTCCTATCAGAATAATTTAGACTGTAAAGGACCTTAGGAGATCATTTAATCTAATCCACCACTCAAAGAAGTGCTATCCTAAACTTACACCTGCTCCCATCAATAACACTGTAGATATTGCACAGGAAATAAGATGCAGATGACATTCCCATGACCACTCTGAATATATTTTGAGTTAGTCGCATTGTTAGCATCTACCAACAAATAGATTGTAGAATTTCTTATTTCAGTGTGTAGTCACCAGCCCAAAATGTAATAAAACGTTAAGGCAATAGGCATTTTCAGAGCATAGCATTTTTACAAATATCACAATTCAATTTATTCAGCATTTATAATCAAGAGACTGCTCTTATAAGGCAGTATCTGATGCAGTTTTGTTTGCTTAAAATATTATTTACTCAAATTTTGCATAATTTTGCTTTCTTTGCAAGTATTAGATTAGATTTTTTGAAAAAATAATGAATTTCGTTTCCTTCCTGATATTGTCACACAGATTTAACTGGGAGGGACAGTCGAACCATGGATTCAAGGCCAGGTACTATCTGGTCCTAGAAAACAAGTCAATGAAGACCGCAGTCTGAGGATTTGTTCTCTGTAAGTGGAATACAGCTAAAAGGGAGTGGGTAACTCTCTGATATCTTAAAGCCATAGCAGTAGAAACTGAATGTCTGCTCATACAGCCAGTAGACAAGGAACAGCAGAGTAAGTCCTTGCACTTCACGCTGTCAGCATGCCTCACCCCAGCCTGGATGAGTCACCTCCTGGAGGGTCACTGTGCTACTTCAGTCTACGGATTCTCTGTTGGGACTGCCATGAATGACACTACATGGTGGCATTTGTTCCAAGAGGACATTTGTCTTCTATGAACTGGATAGAGACCACGGATTTCATGCAGGTCAGCAAGCAACCATGAAAATATTAGTGACTAAAAGTCCTTACCAACTTTTGCCTGCTTTGAACTAGTGACACTGAAGTGATGGGAAAGACTCCATCTTCCATTAGCAGTCCCTAAGCTACCCATTAGACAGTCCTTGACCTGTTACCCAGTCATCCCATCCCATTTCCACCCTATGTGAGTGAATGAGCACTTTTGTTTACAGAAATGTTGCAGTTCTTGGGAATTTAAATCACAAGTCTCACAGTGTATATTATCAGTACAAATCATACTGACTTTAGCTGGTAATGCTTAGCTAAAATTGCTTTGTAACTCAGGAGACTCATTTATTACAGGGAAAAAATACACTCTCTAAAACACAAAGCAAACATAAAAACTGTTTCCAAGTAAATTTAGGGGGGTTGTTCAGAAATAGGAATATGAAGCACAGTATTCAGGAAGACTACGGTGATCTTCAAATAGTTATATACAGGCTAACTATTCAAATACAAAACCAAGTAACTTCAAAACTAGGTAAAAATATCTACTCTTTTACTACTAATAACGATTCAGTTATGGAGAAGACTTCACATAAGGCATTTTCACATAAGACCAAGGTGTTTTAATATTGTTTTACATGGCACCTAATATTTTAAAGGAAAAATACACACAATCGTTTTAGAAAAAAAACCTGAATGAAATTGCTTTTACTTTTCTGATGTTTAATTATTTTTGTCCATTTAAATACCAGTATTACTATTTCTGCATCATCTGTTGGGCTTACTTGAGCTTACTAAAGATAACTCTGAACAAGAAGTTCTGTACATGTCAATGCAGTTCAGAACATTACAGATAGGAGAGTTTCTATAAACTGCACTATCAAACATCATTCACACTATGCAAGAGAAGAAATACTTTAATATCCATGAATGTTATGTTTTAAATAAACCCCGGGAAGAAACTACCAGCTCTGTAAAACTACACAAAAATCCTGTTGGTTTTCAAATGGAAACCACTGCTCACCGCAAATAAAAAAGTCTTCTGGAAATTCACCTACTTTTGAAACTTGAAGTAAATTAAAATTTCTCCTTTGTAATACTTTTTAAAAATGCATTCCCCCAATTATTCATTTATTACCTCTTTCAATGTTTTTAATAGATGAAGAGCTTTTCCACAGGTAGAAATACTACAGAGATATCAGGTATCAACCCTTAAAGGCATACATGCATAGTAAAAAAAGACTGCAAAAAATCAAGAATGCAAATTAGTAATTTTCATATGGAAGATGTCATTCTTTGTAAGTATTTATATATCTGTGAAACTGTTATTAGATACATACACATCTATGTAAAACACCTAAGAACAAATAGTAAGGTTCTAACCCATATTATAACACATAATAAAAGACCATGCTCCACACACAGTTCCAATATTCTCATTAACTGTAATCCTTCTAGCATAATCTCTTATTAATTCAAAGAGAGTTTGAATCCAGAGTCTGTCTCCATTAAAAATAAACAATAAAAACCAAACCCCACCTCATCACACTAGCTATAGTGGTACAAATTTCTCTCTCATATAAATTCACTCAGCTGATAATACAGCAGGGGTTTACATCAGCACATTGTACTGCAATAGTCTAATGGCTCAAGTTGCACTAGTACAAAACCACTTTAGAGTTATGCAGTTCCTTTACAGTGGCTAATCCTACCACCTATCTAGCTACACTCTGGTAGAGGGATGCTTTCCCCAGACAGATAAATCTTTCTAGTCTGACATGGCATCTGTAGTATTCAGCAGACAGCCTTAAATCCAAACCAAGTTTTACAGAAACGCTCATATGATTGTCTGCTATACAAGGTCCCTCCTGCTCCTCCTACCAGCCATTCAGAGGAGGAATTAAATAAGTGTTCCAAGTCTTTTTTTCCATCTCAAACCATGAAATAACCTGTCCAGCAACCAAAACAAGGAACAAAAGCAACAAATCCTCCAACAGTTTCCTTCAACCTGCCCCGGTTCTTCAAGTACACTGACTAGTAATGAAAAAAAATTACTCTCCCAAACTACCGTACACTGAAGGGGAAAAAAAATTTTTCCACATTATAGTTCCCTTTTCTAATCATCCTCAGGAAAAGAAAGGATTAAAAAAATTAACTTTTTTCCCTCTCCTATGAGTTTTCCTTCCTATTTTTTCACAAGACACTGAGGAAGATCTAAAGATTTCTCCTACACAAACCATGGCTTCCCTCTCTAAAACTTAAAAGAAGTTAAAGTGGTCATGGTCGATTCACCCCTGCTGCCTGGAAAGGCTCGAACAGCTACTTCCCGTAGGCAGTCAGTCAGCAGGAGATGAAACACATTCTGATCATCAGCCTACACCTGTATTTGCCCAAACTTAAACAATTACCTTGAAAATAAGAAATATACATACACAATCAAATACTGCATATGTTTAATACATAATCAATGTATTAAACTGCTATAAAATAGCAACTACTTTAAATTTCTTACACTGTAGTGGCCTTTTTTTTCCTCCACAACATAATAAATGAATTAGATTCAACCATTTACGAACACTTGTATGAGTTTAAGGAAGTGATTTAAATATTTATCTGAAAATCATCAAGTAAAAACAATGGAGGAAAAAAATGAAGTCTCTTTAGATTTGATGTATCTTCACAGCTTAATTAACACAAGCTTTTCCTGTTTTAATTTGCACTTAAGAAGACGGAACTTTACTCATTTTGCTAATTACTACATTTTCAAGCTGTTTTCTGGAAATAGATGGCAGCCTATCACACTAGGAACCCAAATTTCTATAGTTACCTCGGATTACGTAATTGTCCAAAGCCTCTTCCATTCTTTTCAGTGCTTCAGCTCTATTAGAGCCATAGGTAATCAGCTAAAAAAAAAAAAAAAAAAGCATTTAAGTTACCTAGAAATGAGATAATGTTTGTCTCTAGACTCTGACTAGCATTTAAAATGAAATTAGTTTGTAGAACTTCTGCAGTCACAAAAACATTTCTCACATATTACTGTATCTGTGCTTCAGAGGCTCTGTAAAACATCAAGCAAGAACTAAGATCTCTTAACCCATTCAATGAAAAAAGGCCAATCACATTTCCTTCATAAAACTTAAAGCATCTAAACAAGCACCTTCTTCTTTAAGCACACAGAAAATGATCACAGAGGTTCAATATCTAGTCGACTCTCCAACTTCTAATGCCCAACTGACTTCTAAGATTTAAGTGTGAATTTTTTTGACAACTGAAATCTTACTGTACTGTCATATTTGCATTTTACTAATATGTTACTGATTAATGAGAACTAACACTAAGAGCCACTACCAACCATTTCTTTCACTGCTTCTTTCTGGATGCCAGAATTATTGATGTTTTAGTTCTGGCTAGGTTACATTAAAAAAAGATAGATTGGTAGCACCTTAGTCTGAAAGTAATGGCTTCTGTTTAAATCAGAATCCTTTTAATAATCAGAAAATGCAAGACAAATAACTACAGTTCCAAAATATAAAAAAAATCTGCTTTAGAAGTGACACTAAATTTCCTCTACTCCACATCTTCCTTCACTTCTTTCGTATTCCCTTGAGACATGTCATGCCTAGCACCTTTAAAAAACTGATCTACCAATCCTTCAATATACTCTCCCTCCTTTAAAAGATCTGTGTATAAAATTAGTGTTTCATACCTTTAGAATATTGAAAAATACTCATCAACTCACTTTTGAGATCATGGGATCATAATAAATGCTAATATCACTTCCTTGTTGTATGCCACTGTCAACACGTACCTTTAAAAAATAAGAAGCAAAAAAAGAAAAAATCAACATTGGAAAAAAAAAAATTTCAACATGAGATCAAATCGACCTGGCAGGCTTAAAACACAACACCCATGAAGCTTATCACACACATTTTTTTCTCTTTGAAGAACTAGAAAAATTATTTGTTTTCAGAGAAGCTGAGAGGGGGGAAGGGGAGGTTCTTCCTCCCTCAGGAAAAATACTTCTCTCCTTTAAAAGAAAACACGACTGCAATCTTCAGTTGATAGTCAAAATTCTCTTTTGTTCTCCTAGAATGCACAAGTAAACACACTAAATTTGATCTAACAATTTAGGTTGTGTTACACACCCTAAAACTTCATCTCTGAAGATACCCAATTCCAATTTAATCCCTGTAATAAAACACAATTTTAATTTTCTTCTGATTGACACCTGGCATGAAGGATGCGCCTTATAATCACATCCTTTCTGCATTTGTATGTAATCACAACCCCCATGTTCTGCTACAGCCATTCCGAGGGCTCCAGTAGGAATACAAGTAGGGAGCATTCAGC